AGCAAATCAGCTAAAAAATTGGTAGTCATGTCCAAAACAAGAAAAAAAGTATAAGAACAAAATTGTGATGTATACATAGTATTAGTATATATATATATATACCTACAATTGGAAACTATGGCAGTGATGCCATCAGTGGTGAACCCCTCATCGGAAACCAATATCCACTTTAAGCATAGGCCCTCCAGATTGACACCATTCTTGGCCATGGCTTCAATCCATGGGTACACAAAGCCTCCCCAATCATGCCGGACCAAATTGAAGTCCGCAAAATGGGGTTTTCTTTTCAACGTTAGAGACCTAACTCTAGGAAACCTCTTGATCAACTTCTCCGGACTAATTGCATAACGATTCCCTACAAATACACTTTCTCTGCTGAACCTCTCCACCCTATACCATGACTTGCACACCACTGACACCGTATTGCGGTCTTTGTGTGACATTAATAAATCAAATACATGTTCTAAGACCTCATCCCAACGATAACCCTGATTCCTCTCACATTCTCTCTCTATTTTTCCAGATCTGGTGATGGTGATGGACAAGCAAGTGCGATAGGAATGAGAGAGAAGAGAGGGCGACAACGGAGAGTGGTCACCATTAGAGGAAGGGTGTTGAGGAGAATAATTGCCAGTGGGCTTTGGAATCACCGGAGGCAGTTGTACTAGTAGTCAAATGTACCATTTTTAGAGACAAAAATAAAATTTCGTCACCAATCTACATATATAATAAAAAAATTAGGTGATGAAATTATTTTTCGTCATTATTTATATTTTTTTGTCACTAAAGATTTTTCCGCTAATTTTTTGGATGGTGCCAAAATTTTCAGACTTTTGGTGAGGAAAAAATTGGTCACCAATAATAAAATTATTAATGACGAATATATTTTCGTCGCTAATAATTTTTAATATTTTAATATTATTTAGTGAGAAAACTATTTTCGTGGCTAATAATTTTATGTTTTAGTGAGGAAACAATTTTGTCACAAAATAAATGGTTTAGTTGCTAAAGGTTATGTGTCTATAATTAGAGCTTATGTCTATAATTGGTTTGGTTACATATTTCAGAAAAGATAGCGAGAGAGAGAGACAGAAGACGAAGAGCTGAGGAGTCACTGTCCTCGTTGCCCCGTCCCCTGTTCATCCGCCGCTGCCCCACCCTTGCTCGTTCGCCGCTATCGTCGAGGAGTGGTTGAGTTTGGATTCAAGAAGCTGGTATTCATTCAACAGGTTCATCCTCCAAACTTAAAATATTAGGGTTTTTAATTCAAAAATTAGGATTTTCTATGCTTTGATTTGAGGCTTTTGACTTAATTTATTTCAAATTTAGTATTGGGTTAAAAATTAGGGTTTTGATTTGGGGATTTTTACATGATATTGAGAGCTCTGTCACCTGTCTCTTGTTGTTGAAGCTAGGGTTTTGATTGAAGGATTTCAATTGAACCAAAAAAAAATAATAAATAAATACTAATTTGATTTGGGAATTTCAATTGAAAAAAGTGCTCTGATTTTAGGGTGGAGTTAATACTGCTATTGATGGATTCTTGGCCCTGTTTGGTGCAGCTTAAAAACTGTTTATTTCAGCTTTCAGCTTAATTTAAGCTATTTTGATGTGTTTGTTATAGCTTATAGCTTATAGCTTTTTGGAAGTCAGAAATCAGCTTATTCTTTGAGTGGGGCAGGAGATGCTTAATTTATAAGTCAGAAATCAGCTTATGTTCATAGTTATAAGCTATAAGCTGTTTAGGCATAAGCTATAAGCACTTTCCCACAGTTCTACCAAACAAGGCCTATATAAGTCACTTAAGACTCATCCTACAACATTTTACACATTTTTTCATCATCTTTGACATCAAGAAAACATAGGGAGGAGAGAGAGAGAGAGAGATTGAAATCAAGAGAGGAAAAGAAGAATTTGGAAGAAAGTTGCAAGTATTTGCTTGCTAGCTCAAGAATTAACAACTTAGAGTCCAATTGAAGAGTGTAGGTAAGGAATCCAACTCTTAATTTTTGTATTTGAACACCAAGCATAGGAATTCAAGGGAACTTAAGTTAATACAAGGATTGGTCTAGGGAGGTAGAAAAGAGGATCAATACTTGCA